GCATTTCAGACTGATAAACCTATGCTGCCATTCATGAGTATCAGTTTGTACACTTTGTTGAAATCATTGTTGAATAGGTTTATCAAGGGTGAACTTGTTACCGAGGCAACATCTCCTCTGAAGATCCTGAGGTTGAAGCCCACTGATAAAGAACAGCAGTTAGACTACCAGAAAGTTGATGTTGGCTTTGTGGCACAACACATGCTGAAAGAAAAATCTGGGAAATTGAGTGAAAGGCAAGTTCTTCAATTCAGAATGGAATGTAAAGATTTTCTTGCAAAAACAGCCTCTAAACTGCTTGACAAAACACCAATAAATTATTGACTAGTAAGAAGTATGTCTTGTCTGGATCCAAGGCTAATGGCATCAGAGAAAGAAGGATGTGTCAAAAAAATGAAAAGAGTTCTTGAAATTCTTGTGGAAGCCCACAGATTGAAGGCTGATGAGTGTGATGAGGTGATATATCAGTTTGGACAGTTTTTGGATGAATGTGCAGGTAATCCTGACTTTGAAGATTTTGACCCTAGTGAATCCTCTTTAAGAGTCGACACACTGTTATATGAACACATGGCTGGTAATAAGCAACTGGCAAAAGCATGGGGGGTAGTTGAATTATTGCTGCTAATGTCTCATGGTCAAGCCACAGTTGAAAGAGGATTTTCTGTAAACAAAGAAGTGGCAGTTGAGAACCTGTCGGAAAGATCGTTCATTGCACAGAGGATTATTCATGATCATATTGAATCAGTTGGAGGCCTTGCCAATGTAAAAATCTCAAAGCAACTACTTATGGCATCTGCTGGAGCGCGACAGAAATATATTTCCTATCTAGAAGAGCAGAAGAGAATTAAAGTGTCCCAGGAAAACACGCTTAAAAGAAAGGCAGCAATGGATGGGATTGATGTGCTGAAGAAGAAAAAACGGCAAATTGAAACTGATATAGAGGCTCTTTTAAAGACTGCAGATGAATTTGCAGATAGGGCTGAAGATTCAAGAAACCTTACTTGGGTTGCCAAATCAAACAGTTTGCGAAGATCTGCCAAGGAAAAAAGGGCAGTCTTAAAGGACATTGAAGAGCAGTTGGAAGGAAAGCTCCAAGAGCTGAAAAATAATTAACCCCACTTTGAATCCCAAGATGTGAATATTAATTCTACTTAGTATCAGTCACGGATTTCTGATGTTACTTCTGAGATATTAAGAGTTCAATGAAAGAAGTTGATATTCTCTGTTTTCTTTGTTCTCATTTGTATGTCTGACAATGTGTTGAAATTGAAAGTAGAAATGAATC